GCTCTCCTCGGCGGCGAGTCCCGGCCGGGGCTCCACTCTACCTGGCGGCCAGAGCGCCGGGGGGAAGGTGGCGAGCCCGCCGCGGCTCCGCTCTCCCCGGCGGCCAGAGCGCCGGGGGGAGGGCGGCGAGCCCGGCCGTGGCCGCTCTCCCCGGCGGCCGGAGCACCGCGCCGCCCCCCTCCAGGTGCCACCCCAAGCACAAGCTTGGTGGGCTGGTGCCTGGAGCCGGCCCTGATTGACGCTTAACTTAAATAAATACCAGGGAGGGAGAAGAGTTCTCTCGCTGATGTATTTATAGAGATCAATCATCTCCCCATAGCCGCCTTTTGGTAAGGCTAAACAAGTTAAGCTCTTTGAATCTCTCTCATATGGTAGGTTTTCCATTCCTTGGATCATTCTAGTAGCCCTTCTCTGAACTTGTTCCAATTTGAATTCATCTGCCTTAAACATGGGAGACCAGAATTGCACACAGTATTCCAGATGAGATCTCACCAGTAGAATGGTACTAACACTTCCCTGCCTCTACTGTAAATACCTCAGCTAATGCCTCCTAAGACTGCATGAGCCTTTTTCACTGCAGCATTACATTAACAGTTCATAGTCATCCTGTGATCATCCAATACCCGCAGATCTCTCTCTGTTCCTCTGTCACTTCCAACTGATAAGTCCTCCGCTTATAGCAAAAGTTCTTGTTATTAATCCCTAAATGCAAGACTTTGCACTTTGCACTATTAATTTTCATCCCATTTCTATTACTCCAGTTTACAAGGTCATCCAGATCTTCTTGTATATTCTGGTCCTCCTCCATATTGGCTATACCTCCCAACTTTGTGTCATCTGCAAATTTTATTAGCACACTCCCGCTTCTTGTGCCAAGGTCAGTAATAAAAATATTGAATAAGATTGGTTCCAAAACCGATCCCTGAGGAACTCCACTAGTAACCTCCCTCCAGCCTCACAGTTCACCTTTCAGTATGGCCCGTTGTTGTCTCCCCTTTAACCAGTTCCTTTTCCACCTTTCAATTCTCATATTAATCCTCATCTTCTCCAATTTAATTAATAATTTCCCATGTGGAACTGTATCAAATGCCTTATTGAAATCCAGGTAGATTAGATCTACTACATTTCCTTTGTCTTAAAAAAAAAAAATCAGTTATCTCAAAGAAGGAGATCAGGTTGGGCTGGCACGATTTATCTTTTGGAAAAACCTTGTTGTATTTTATCCCAATTACCATTCACCTCTATGTCGTTAACTACCTTCTCTTTTAAAATTTGTTCCAACACGTTGCATACAATTGACGTCAAACTATCATCATAACATTCCATTTGTATGAGCCTAAGAAAGGCAACAAGAATAAAAAAAAGTTGTTCAGGTGATCTGTGGGTAGATACTACAGTTTATAAATTTTGTATTGGATGGAGTACAGTAAAACCTCAGTGTCATGAACACCAGACTTACAAAATGGCCGGTCAACCACACACCTCATTTGGAACTAAAAGAACACAATCAGGTAGCAGCAGAGACACCCCCCCCCCAAAAGCAAATACAGTACAGTACTGTGTTAAATGTAAAGTACTAAACAAAAAGAAAAGCAGCATTTTTCTTCTGCATAGTAAAGATTCAAATCTGTATTGAGTCAATGTTCAGTTGTAAACTTTTTAAAAGAACAACCCCAACGTTTTGTTCAAAGTTACGAACATTTCAGAGTTACAAACAACCTCCATTCCTGAGGTGTTCATAACTGAGGTTCTACTGAATTTGTTAACCTTCTAAATACATAGTATTCGTAAACATACTCAATAGGATACATGTATAGAGAAAAAAGTTATGTTTTCTATGCATGAAGCACCTTATATGAACATAAATAATATTTCCATGTTGATCTATGTTGATTTTTCCTGGAACACAAGGGACTCTTCTTTCTGTTTCTTTAGTTAAAAGCTTCTTACATAAACAGCATCTACAAAACAGTGAAACATAAAATGAAATACAACAGTATGAGTGGCACTTTGGAATGCACATATAGCCTACATAAATGGAGTAGAAACAAAGTAAGAAAAGAACATTACTACACCTGTACAATGTTGCTGCATTTCCCCGAGAATCTAGATTCTGGTACTCTGGATCAAACAGTCTCTCAATCTTCTTGCAGAAAAGTTTACTGTTGATAACAAATTTGCTCAGAACTAAATTTTGCTTTGTTTGCAGTTAATCAATAACTACATTCTGCTACTTTAAATGAGACGGTTTTAAGATGTTAGTTTCAAGATTTGACTTTTGCGAAGTTATACAATTTTCCTGTAAAAAATACAATGTGGAAAACTTGTTTCCATTGTGGACATCTGCCACCTTCATATACATTTGGCTATAGAAGAAGTCTTGGGCTGTGCTTTTTTAAAGTGGCCAAAAAGGACCCAAACCTACATCCACTGAGTTAATTGCAACAGTCTTGCCTTTATAAACATATTTAAGCCTATTACTTCCATAAACCAAGCATTTCGATTCTTGGTACCTATTCTGGACTATTAAATTTCCACCTTCCCCACCAACACTCCCATTTCTCTCTTTGTTGAGTCCTGTAAAGAGATTACTAGCTTCTCCTTTTCAAGAATAAACAGACACGTAACTTGTTACTATCTTGACCCACTGATAGGTGGAGGGGACACCAAGTTTTTCCTCCCCCATTTCTAAATCTATTGAAGCTACACCAAGGTCATTTCAACTATTGAAAAAAGAACTAACCTCTTCCAACTTCATTTGATACTGCTAACATTTTGTTTTTATTTATTTTTATAAAATAAAAAAATGCCTATATAAAGCTCTAGGTGTCCTAACCCCAAACCTGCAGCAACATTAAAATAGTTATTCAAAAAGGAACTCTGGCAGCCTGCCATCTACAAAAAGAGCTCCTTTCCACCCTGTCATTCTGGAAAGCACACTCAGCCCTCTCAAAAAACTCTACTGAATCCACATATTAGATCATCATCAGTCACCATACCATCTCCAGTTAATCTCTCTCTGATGGATTTGGAATCGTTGCCCTCAACCCATTTCCCAAATAAACCCTGACATTCTACGATCTACACTACGAGCTGCGATTCCCCTGTTCATGTATACATACTTGTACTAGTTCTCATCCAGCTAGCACGAGTATAAATAGCAGTGTAGCTGTGGTAACATGGATAGTGGCAGCAGAGGCACAGCTTTCCTGTGCCAAACACGTACCCACCTGAAGCTGGAGGGTACACAATCAGGGAAATAACACATCTAGCTTGCAGTGTAGATGCAGTCTAAGTCTCATAAGTACTGTTTTCACAATGTGAAGCATTTTGGTGCTTTTCCAAAATGTCACCTATAGACCCTATTTCAAGTAAAGTTACCCCTTAAGTCTTCCATATGGCTTTTAGAACAGGAGTACTTGTGGCACCTTAGAGACTAACAAATGTATTAGAGCATAAGCTTTCGTGGACTACAGCCCACTTCTTCGGATGCATGTAGAGTGGAATAAATATTGAGGAGATATATATACACACATACAGAGAGCATAAACAGGTGGGAGTTGTCTTACCAACTCTGAGAGGCCAATTAAGTAAGAGAAAAAAAACTTCTGAAGTGATAATCAAGATAGCCCACTACAGACAGTTTGATAAGAAGTGTGAGAATACTTACAAGGGGAGATAGATTCAATGTTTGTAATGGCTCAGCCATTCCCAGTCCTTATTCAATCCTGAGTTGATTGCGTCTAGTTTGCATACCAATTCCAGCTTTTCCATATGGCTTTTCTTATACTTCTTTACTTCTTGGGTGTTTGGAGCAAGAATCTGTTCTCCCCTAGTTTGAATCCTACCTCCCTAACCATTCCTTTCGGATATGTGGTAGAATCTTTACCTCTTCCTTTTGTTGTGTCTCAAGGCTCTTTCCTTGGCACTTTTGTCCTTTATCTTTTCTCACTGACAGCGGAAGAAACATATACCAATTTAGGTATCATTTCTATGCAGATGACACCCAACTCTACATCTCAAACAACTAACTAGCAACCTATATTGGTGCCAATCACAACAGAACCTGACATATCCCAAAGAGCAAGGTGACTTTATGAGCACTACCTCTGTGTTTCCCTGCTTTTACCTTGACTAAGTTTTCTACTACTGAATGTTTCGAAGACCACACTCACTCTATACCTCTGGACTTTCCACTATTACTCTCCTTAACTTTAATCCTAATGCCAGTAATCCCTGACAATTAAAATGCTTTCCTACCTCATCTTCCTTCTCTGCAAGTCTGACTATTACAATAATTAGTCTTTATCTTGATCCTAGCTCAGCTGAAATCCTTACACATTCCACTCTATTTTAGCGCCATCTTTCATATCCATATGAAATTCCAACTCAAACTTCTGTAATCCCTGAATACTGCAACCAAACTATTCATTCTCCAGGAACTAGGAACACACTACTCCCATCCAGAGTTATTGTCAGTGGCGCCTTACCCAATCTCTCAGTCCAAAATGTCTGTTTTCAAAGCTCACTCTAACCCTCTTTCTTCATAGCCACCTACTATCCCATCCACTCAGTTGTCTCCTAATCTTGGACTCTTCATGAGTCTTCACATTTGGAGTGTTGCCCTTTCACTTGTTGGCTCCTATCTAGAACTTCTTACTTTCTCTTGAAATTTTGTCTTATTCTTGAGCCATTTAATGATATTGTGTATTAAGATATTTTAAAAGTATATAAGTTGCTAACATCACACTAATTCTTTAACAAGTCTTAACTTTTCTGACAAAATATCTAAAAAGGAACAGGAGCCTGTAGTAGAGGGTCAATAGTGATTATTAATATTAAGCTGGAGAAGAAAAAAGTTACCTCTTAAATTTATCTTTTTTGTCCTTCACATCGTCCACTTCATTATGTGTGAAAAGATCAGCGATACGCTTAAGGAGGTCACCGCTGACACAGTTCATGTTGCATGGGGTGGCTATGATAGCACTCATGTTTTTGTGGCAATAATGAATACATTTTTCTACCTAGGAAGGAAAGGAGATACTATGAACACCGAAATTAATGATACACAAACCCATATCTCAGAAGACCTATTACTTTTATATTAGAAATTTCTTAGAAGCAGGATCAGGACTTTGTTAGAATTAATGGTGTTTAGCAAAACTGGCTCAGTTCAACTCTAAAAATACAATTTAATGGCTCAGAAAGCAAGTCACATTTTTTGTGTACATGGCTTAAATGTAACTCTGAACTACTGCCATCCTGAAGGATCTTCGATTCTGACTACTACCCCTGAATCCTCTTCAGGAAGTGCCACCTCCACCATGTTCATGATCCAGAACTAGAGACCATTTTTGTAGCTTTAATATTATATACAGCATTGTACCCACCAAATTTAGCTTTACCGGTGAACTTTAATATTTAGCATGAACTGCAAATAAAAAATGACAGTTGTGACAGCAAGAAGATGCAGTACATTAAATTCTAAGTTCCTTCCTTAACTTGGCTGCACAGTGTTTGTCTTTACTATTAAACAATTGGAAAAAGAAAATCAAACAGATACCTCAATGGTCTGTCCATTTACATGATGAACTAGAAATAAGACAAGCTCTTTATATGAATTAAGCTAGTATCTTATAGCTCTTATATGAATTAAGTACTAGATTATGGAAGTCAAAACTCAAGGTAAAACTGCATATCTACACAAAAAATATCATTAAGCAATCTTTTTTTCTCATTATATGCACACATCTCCAATTAAAGTAAATGGGCCTTAAATATGCTGACTGATGGAGAACTGCACTCCAGAGAGAAGTGGCACTTAGTATAAAACAGTGGTTCTCAACCAGAGGTATGTGTACTCCGGGGGTATGCAGAGGTCTTCCAGGGGGTACATCAACTCATCTATATATTTGCCTAGTTGTACAACAGGCTACAGAAAAAGGACTAGTGAAGTCATTACAAACTGAAATTGCATATGATGAAATGTTTATACTGCTCAATATGCTATATTACTGAAATGTAAGTACAATATTTATAGGCCAATTGATTAATTTTATTATATGGTAAAAATAAGAAAGTAAGCAATTTTTCAATAATAGTGTGCTGTGACACTTGTGTTTTTATGTCTGATTTTGTAAGCAACCAGTTTTTAAGTGAGGTGAAACTTGGGGGTACACAAGACAAATCAGACTCGTGAAAGGAGCACAGTAGTCTGGAAAGGTTGAGAGCCACTGGTGTAAAACACTGAAAATGTGGAGACTTTATATTTCCTTTAAGATAGTAGTCAAAAGTCAGATGCTGCCATTAACTCACACAGTGAAGTCAGCTATTATTTAGATTAATAAGTATTCATTTGGAGGTAGATACTGGCTCCCCTAATCACATTCAGTAGTACTTTACTATGCAAGCAGCCCCATTGAAATCAGTGAGACTGTGCAATTATTGAATTACTACTTTTCATGAGCAAGGTGGCAGAATCTGATCCTCAGATTGTAAACTCTTTGGGACATGAACTATTTTCCCTCTCTGTTTTATACAGCTGTAAGTACACTGTCAAAGCTTAGCAAATAAGCTACTAAGGTTTATGACAACCATTTGGTGGTAAACTGTGTTACTATGGCATAGAATTTCTCATCTCTTGTTATACTCACTAAAGAATCCATCTTCAGAAATTCAGAAGAAATAAGAATCGAAATGACATTTCCTGGTTCTAAAAGAGAAACAGCAGAACAAGGTGAAAAGATTAATCTTAATTTATTCCTTTGATAAATTGAGACTACCCTAAGAGACTCAATGCCTCTTTAAAGGAGGGTATTGTTTAACTAAACAAGTTTTTATCATTCCACTTTCAAACATGTGTCAAGCCTGATCATTGGAAACAGAATTTCTCCCATCTATACAGGCAATCCCCAGAAATAATCATTTTCTTAGTATAGACAGGTCCTTAGTTCCTGTCTATACATCAACTCAAACGTAGTTAACCAGAGCATTTTAACTGATCAAACACTGTTCCAGCTAAGACACTTTTTAACAGTTTGGCTGGTCAGCACATGTGCTAGAGCTAGCTAATGTTATTTTGCTGGAGCAGGGCCTGATCCAGTGCCCATTCAGTGCTCCCAAATAGGAGTTTTTCAATTGATTTCAAGAGGATTTAGATCTGGACTGGACTGATTTAAATCTGCAAGCAGGAAACCTTAGTTTAAATCTATTTTAATAGTGTTTTATATTTACACTTTTAGGTTATTTTCCCCAAAGATTGATTCTCATTAGTTGGTATACATTAAAATACAATAATTTGCAACTAAATATAGCCTATACACTAAATCTGCTATTTATTTTTGCTAACCAGGAGAATATCATGTATCTATGCACATTTATTTAAAAGCAATAATACAGTCTAACCTTTTACTGGATGACTATTTTTTTATTTGTAACTTGTCAAGCTTTATTTGGATGGAAATTCAAATAAATTAGAAATGCACAAAATACTAATTTATTTATTTAGTATTAAATACAACTGCCTTCAATGTGCTAGATACATAAGAAAAAAGTTCAAAACATGTTTTGGATTCAAACAAAGGAAGTAATATTTGTAGTTAGTGAACGGAAGTGACTGATCACTGTCGTTCAAGGTTTTAGAAGTAGAAGAGTTTATCCTCACACCTAGTTTTTATTCATAGATTCAAAGAGGAAAACAAGCTTTCCTGCTTCAGCAACAAACATACTGTTTAATGTTTTTTGTATTTAATTTAAATGTTTGTAATAGATATTGTAATAAGTTTAGGCCTTAACTTAGGTTGTCAATTTCAAATTTAATTTTAAAATAGTTTTTTTTAAATAAAAAGCCCATTTTTAAATTTACATAAAAATATCCAATTTAAATACATTTCTGATTTTTTTAAAATGTATTTTATTCCATCCTTGGATGGGCTTATCTAACCCATTTAAGCTACTTAAAGACCGTCTCATTGACTTTAATAGAAGTAGAATCTGACTCAAAATTAAGTACAAGGGTAAAATTTTGAAAGGACTTAAGCAATTTAGGGACCTCACAATGAGAGTCAATGGGATTCTGGCTCCTGTCTATGCCAGGCTCTTAAGTCACTTAAATGCTTTTCAAAGTTTTGTCCCGCGACTACCAAGACAATGATAGAATTGCTCCTTTATACCGCATTTACAGTGAAGTTTTTAGGAAAGTCTCCAAATGTTGCTGTAACAACAGTGGGAATGTTACTGTAGATTGGCTACTTGTGCTTATCACAGTGAAATAATCCTGTTCAGAGTGGGCCTAGATTACCTTGGTAAAGATACCAGCTGTCAACATAGACTAGTGCTTTCACCACTGTAACCACCAGAGGAATATTTCCATAAAATTATAAGTAGCAGCAAGACCAGGGACTTTCTATAATGGCCAGGGAAACTGTTTTAGCACATTTCCAACAAACCAGTGTTTCTGGCCCCAGCAGACTGGGCCAAGGAGGTTGGACTTGAATTAAGGAGGGATATTATCTTCCAGACAATTTTGCACATATGCTTTTAGTCTGAAACACAGATCAGATAATGAATCTGCAGCAAATGAACAATAGAATATTTTTTACCTAAAGCGGGTATTTCATACACTTCATATTCCTTAGTGTTCCTTTTAACATATCTTATCAACCAGTCAAAGATGTGAACGTCACAGTGAACTGAAATGTCCACCTCTTCCCAGCGCTGGGCATCCACAGACAGATATTCAGCAAAGTACTTCATTTCAGAAATCAAAAGATCTCGAGGACAAACAAAATCTTCCTTCAAATTTTTTGCTTCGTCACACACGTGGATCACCATATTTGGCCTTGATTTAAAAAAACAAACAAACAAACAAACAAAACAACAGAAAAAGGAAAGTTATTACAGCTTAGGACCAGAAACCAATAAGAAAGTCAATGTTGATTCACGGAGATTTTTACCCCCAAATTGCATGATTGGTCAGAACCCAGGTTTTCGTAACATTTTATCTTACAAGATAAACAAAACTTCACATTTAACTGCAGTGAGAAAGCTTCTATCTTCCCTCTCACCCCTGCATGTTATTCAATGGCATGCATCCCAGGGCACATAGTTTGATCAAAATCTTATTCACAGGAGAAACTGTAGATGCTAAGTCATACACTGAGACATTCACTGAGCTATATCATTGTTCACAGTTGATTTACTGTGAAGGGAGTTGGTGCACCGTAGATTCACATCCTGGCTTGCAGTGTAGACAAGATCTAAGAGAGTGGGAGTGAGGATTTCTGGGTGCTATTCCCAGGTTTGCCTCTGGCTCACTGTGTGATCTTGGCAAATTACTTACGTTCTCTGTTCTACCTCATTTTATAAAAGTATAGATCTATTTGCCTAGCTCACCAGGGTGCTGACATGGTTAATTAGTATGTGTGATTTTACAGCATCTTTCATCTGAAGAAGTTAAAATATTTTAGAGTGTATCAATATTATCTACTTCCTAACAGGAGGTTCAAGTTCAGATTACATCAATAAAATATCCGCTTCCATGGAGATAGCATAACAAGTCATAGGTCTAAAATAAGTGCCCTTGACAAGTAGGTCTAAAAACTTTTGGAAATTAATATGCATTGGTATAATACATAATTGAAATATCTAGCAAAAATATATAAGGTATTCCAACTCATCACGGCAGGGATTTTTTTTTTTTTTAAAAGACCTACAGGTAAAAAACACAACACATTTAGAGAATTTAATTATTTTAGGCTAGTGACCCTTTCTCACAATAACGAGCAGTATTCACCTGGGAGTAAGTGTTCACTGTGACACAGAGGCTCCTAGGCAAAAAGTTTCCTGTTCTTCGCAAACAACTCTCACCTCAGACCTGACAAAACTCACTACACCAAACATGTCTTACAGGATATTTATTCATGAAGAGTAACATGTAACTCGTAACTTGTCAAGATTCATAATCATTGCAAGATGTATTTATAGGTAATATTTAAGAAATAACTTATTTATACCTAAAGTGTGCTTTATGGAGTTGGAGTAAAAATTAGTCACCTGAGAATAATGCATCTTGGCGATGACCCATTCAGGCAGAAGGGAGTTGCACGCGCATACCTGCCCCCTTCCCTCCCCACACTCTTTCAAACCCACCTCCCAACAAATACTTATGTTGTTGTTGTTACTTCTTGGTACATCCTGCAATGCACATATATTCTCTGTAATCGTATTCTTTCAAAGTGCTGTTATTTTAGTTTTTTGACTGGTCTATGCATTTCATAATTTTATTTCTCTCTTATGCTTAAGATTTAATTCTTTGAATAGCGAGTTCTAAAATTTCTAACCTTTCCTGGCTGGATCAATAGTGGTGCACATAAAATTCATTCTGCACATGGATGGAAAATATTAGAGGGAACATTGTCACCCCACCCTGTTTAGCCTTGCTCAATTTCAAGACTTACAATGGAAAGCCATCAGAGACAACTGCAAACAATTGAAACATTGTAAAATAGGAACATTACAACAAGAGGAGTTCACCCTGTCTATTGTACTGAAACAAAAAATTGTTTCAGTACAATACAGAGGAGGGAAATGTTCTCTGGATCATTTCACTGAAGTTACCTCTTGAGGAACAATGTTTCTCATGGAAAACTGAATCTTGTGAAGCCGGTCAGCTCTGCAACAGACTGAATGTTGTGGGGAAAACCTACTTCATTAGCTAGGGAAAGGTAACTATTATTAAGTGTACATTCACATTTTATGATTTTGTTTTGCATTGTAACTAGGGATGTCAAGGGATTAAAAAAAATAATCGTGATTAATCACACTGTTAAACATTAATAGAATACAATTTAAATATTTTTAGATATTTTCTACATTTTCAAATATATTGATTTCAATTACAACACAGAATACAAAGTGTACAGTGCTCACTTTACATTTATTTTTGATTAAAAGTATTTGCACTGTAAAAAAAGTATTTTTCAATTCACCTAATAAAGTACTGTAGTGGAACCATTTTATCATGAAAGCTGAACTTACAAATGTAGAATTATGTACAAAAAAAAAGTCGTTAAAAAAATGTAAAATTTTAGAGGCTGCAAGTCCACTCAGTCCTACTTCTTGTCAGCCAATCGCTCAGACAAACAAGTTTGTTTACATTTGCAGGAGATAATGCTGCCCACTTCTCGTTTACGTCACCTGAAAGTGAGAACAGGCGTTCGCATGGCACTGTTGTAGCCAGCATTGCAAGATATTTATGTGCCAAATGCACTAAAAATTCATATGTCCCTTCATGCTTCAACCACCATTCTAGGGGACATGGGTCCATGCTGATGATGGGTTCTGTTCAATAACAATCCAAAGCAGTACGGACCGATGCATGTTCATTTTCATTATCTGAGTGAGATGCCACCAGCAGAAGGTTGTTTTTCTTTTTTGGTGGTTCGGGTTCTGTAGTTCTGCATCAGCGTGTTGCTCTTTTAAGATTTCTGTTTAGCATATCTTACAACGCCGGCTACAAAAGAGCCAAGCAAATGCCTGTTCTCACTTTCTGGTGACATTGTAAATAAGAAGAGGGCAGCATTATCTCCTGAAAATGTAAACAAATTTGTTTGTTTCTTAGTGCTTGGCTGAAAAAGAAGTAGGACTGAGTGGACTTGTAGGCTCTGAAGTTTTATATTTTTTGTTTTTGAGTGCAGTTATGTAACAAAACAAAACAAAAATCTACATTTTTAAGTTACACTTTCACGATAAAGAGATTACCTCCTACAAGTACTGTAGTGCAAATTGAAAAATACTATTTCTTTTGTTTATAATATTTACAGTGCAAGTATTTATAATCAAACACACACTGATTTCAGTTACAACACAGAATACAATATATATGAAAATGAAGAAAAACATGCAAAATATTTTATAAATGTCAATTGGTATTCTATTGTTTAACAGTGAGATTAAAACTGCGATTAATCGCGATTAATTTTTTTAATCAATTTTTTAAAAAAAATTTTAATCAACGGCCCTAATTGTAAACATTTGTTTCCACTGTTCTCTCTTGTTTCTAGTTAAATCTTTACTCATTCTTAAAAAGCTACTTTTGTTTTATTATAAGTATTCACAAGTGCTTGTGGTTTACAGTAAATCTGACAAACTGGGACACACTGCTCCTTTGGGGACAGAAAAATCAGAGATTTCTGTGAGTTACAAGTGTTGGGCTGGAGTAGACAGTTTCAGGGCTGGATATCATGGGAATGATTCAAAGGTACTCAGGACTGGAGTGCACCTATGGTGAAACTACAAGACGAAGATAGGGCTGACATAGCCCAGAGGAGAATGCCCGAGTGGCTGAAAGGCTGGTGGTATTGGGAGCTCTCTGACACCCAGCCAGGCACAGGAAAGACTCCCTCACTCTGAAGGCAGGGGGTAACAAGGTGACTCTCAGTCCCTGGTATCCTGAGAACTGTCACACTCACCACTGTGAATAAGGTGCTCAAAATCTGGCTCTTAATATTTATGTGGTAACAACTACATTATTGAAGTCATTATAGAGCAGGGGTGGCCAAACGTATTGACCCTCTGAGGCATATACAACAATCTTCAGAGGTCTGAGAGCCGGGGCACACCAGCTGGGGCTTCAGCCCCACAGGAGGTGCCTGCTGGGGTTTGGGGCTTTGGCCGTGCTCCTGCTGAAGCCCCGAGCTCTGGCTGGCATGCCCCGTGGGACTGAAGCCACAAGACTGCCCTCCCTGCTGGGCAGAAGCCCCTACCCCACCATCCCACTGCAAGGCAGAGGTCCCCACTCTGGTAGGCAGAGAATGGGGGGTGGGAACTCCACGAGCCACAATTTAACTGCAATATAACTTGCAAGCCACGGTTTGGCCATCCCTCTTAAAGAGGGAAGATAAATTAGGAAGTTCATAGCTGCTTTCTCTGTGGCAGTGCATTAATTTACATAGGGAAAACTGCCTTCAAGCTTCAATTTGGGATAATAGAATTATTGAAAGTCTATGAAATCTGAATTTTCTTCAGTCTGTACTGTCTGCCTTAGGAACACAAGGTATACATTTCAATACACAACTGTCAGTGTAGTATATGAAGAGAAAGTGATCGATTGTATAATTCTCAACTAGGATGGCAATGACAAAATTCAATGACCTAGTTTTCATGAATGATAATCAAACACACTCTTTCAGAGAAACTAAGCTCAAGACACACACACACAGGAATAACTATATCTACATATACAAAAGGTTTAGGTATGCTTTTTGGGTATTCTAAGTTATTTTCTATCTGCTGTAAGTCAACGTACTGATAATCAAAACAGTTGCGATCTACGAGTTAAACATTTATCAACATTTGCACTGTAAGAATTGAAATCTGGATCAGGGCCTTTTAAGGTAGTTGTACAACAGAACACTTACGCTTGTACTGAATTTTGAGCACACGAATAGTCCCACTGAAGTCAAGTGATAAGTTGGATGGGCCTTAGTTTATAGTCACAAATACTGTGGTTACAGTGTTGTACATTTGAGTTCCACTGACAGTTTGAAATGAGGTAGTGAGATGAAAGGTAATATTCTGCAAGCCATTTTTCCAAGTTTGAGATAAAGAGATATCTGTGGCGTATCATTCATCTTGCCATTAACAAAACAGTGAAAACCTGAAGTATAGGGTCTAATCCTTCTCCCACTGCACTCAACGGCAAACTTCATGAATTTGTTTGCATAAAGTATTAGGCCGAACAGAGGCTAGTTTATGTTATTCAACTGTCTCGGCAATTTGGTTAATATTATAAATCACAAATAGGTCTTTCTCTACACTGAGAATTTTCAGCTATTTTCCCACCATTGGTGTAGCACCACTGCAGCTCCAAAAGTACTGACATTGGTGGAAGTGCTAGTGGACCATAGGAGCAGGTGTGTTCATGAACAATTGATTAGATTACATGATGGTGAAAACACCCATGACTGATTTCCACTAGCATTCCAACTGTTGCTAGCATGGATGGAGCTGCACAAATACTAACTGACAAATGGTGGGAAGTTGCTGAAAATTCTGTGTAGACACAGCCAGAAAGATGCACATCTGTAAAGAGCAGATTTCAGTTTCACTGATATTAGCTTTACCAGATAGCAAACAATCATCATCCTACCCTTGACTTTCATCAGCATTTTCTCCACCTTTATGTGCAGAACGTTTCTCAGCTTCTGAAGAACAGTTTCTTGTGGAAGCAACACTGGACCTTCCTTCAACATAATAAAAAGCAGCATTAGAATTTAAAGCTAAACTCAGGGTCTCATATACCATTTGTTAGTGTTGCAAGTGTGTTGCTCCCATTCTGAAGAGAAGTTGTCATGATTATAACTGTCACAGGCTTCTCGAACACCTGGTTTAAAGCAGCAATCTGGGTTAAGTTACAATGAAAAGGCAGCCAGGATTAGGTGTACAGCAGACAGTGAAGTCAAGGGTAATTGACCTTTACCTTCGATAAGCTTTCCTCACTAATGTGCAGCATGCAGTAGGGTGTGGATCCAAAGCCCACTGAAATCAATAAGAGTCTTTCCACTGACTTCAGTGGCTTTGGATCAGGTCTTGAGTGCCCCAGTATGCAGCCTTCCAGACGAATTTTCTTGTGGTGATGTAATGACCCATCAAATGTGAAAAAGCCTCTTAAACTCCTTGTAGAACTGCGGCTTTGAATGTAGAGACGTCGCCATCTTAAATAGTTAATGTAAAAGCCAGCCAAAGAACGCTTTGGCCCTCTCATACTGTCTCCTCCTGGCTACACCATTACCACTACATATATTGGCACTTTTTGACACAGATTAGCATGAGATACTATTATCTCACCTCCATCATCTGGCTGGGTGAACAAAATGCTTTAAGCTGTTTTTTTCCCCTTGGTTCTTGAAGAGATTCCTGTGGATTGTGATGGATAGCTGCTCCCTTCCCCACCCCCCAACAGTCTCCCCTATGCAGAGTCTCCTATAAGTTGCAATTCTGTCACCCCCATTGTTTAACATGCAAGGCTACTAGGGGAGACTGATTGTACTTGAACTGAAGTACCAAGAACAAGCAGCTGACACCAAGCTATACTTCTCATTCAGCATGGATACTGTAGATCCTCTGATGCCCCTGAGCAAAGCAGGCACTTGAATTAAAGGTATTGGCTGGGAAAGAAGAGTGAAATCTAAGAAATCACCAAAACAACGTTCTACTGCTCCTATATTTTCTTTAGAGGATTTTCTAAATATCTTAAAGTCACAACTATTACCACCTCCAACAATAAGTTTTGACATTAACATACCTGTGGCTACAAAACTGCCAAGAATGTGCCTGAAAGATTTAGTATAAAAATCAAGTACATCAATTTAAGCAGTTCAAAACTTACTGTCATTGTAACTACCTTTTAAAAAGCCACAAACTATAAAACATTTGTACTTGAAACACTAAATGGGTTGACTCAGTTGGAAATAACTTTATTTTAGTTTATGCAGCAGTATTTGTGGCAAATTTATTTGAAGATTATTAACTACTAATTCCGGAAATAGGTTTACCAGACAAAAGAAAAACAGTGGACATAACACTATAATCAAAGCCACAGAATTTACCAGTTATGGAAATTGAATTCTGCCCGATGGAAGGCTCTTGAAACTCCCCCTGTGTATCCAGCAGAGAGGATTTGATGTATGTAGCTAGGGTTTCAACAGGACTCCCACCAGTAGCCATTAATGGATTGTACTGGTTGTCAACAGGTGAACTTCCACTGCTTTTCAGTTCATCAAACCTTTTTGCACACTGTCAAGAGATAAAATGATGGGAATATGAAGCAGATAACGGAAACTATATCACTTTAAAGGCTGGTACTGTTTCCTGTTAATAGTTTCTGCAAATTGATTGATACATCATAGTTAAAAAAAATTATTAAAGCGAATGTTAAAATTATATCATATACAGGTTAAGGAAAGAGTGTCTGTGCATCTGGGTGTAGTGCTTAGATTATCCAAAAGTACAAGGTTTGGTTTAAAAGTCATAAAATACATATACCAACTCCTTCTATATGGTCAGCATTGAAGTTCTGAATTGAAACCGAACCAACTAAGAACCTTCACACTTAATATTGATTAAACCACATGGTAACTCACTCTGCAATACCTAAGAAGTGCAGACTATCCATGCAATATGTAAGATTTACCAGTTTCAAGACCCCACCAACATTCACACAAATTAAAGGATGGAGTTTCTGACTTAATCCTCAATTTCCCTCTCTTTACAGTTTAAGCTTTATCCTTAAAAGGGCAGTTAGATTTTTTAAACCTAGCTCCTTTACCTATGATGTTTAATACCTTAAATTACTCAAAGTAGAAATGTCTGTAAAATAAGAACATAAGAAATTAAGAATGGCCATACTGGGTCAGACCAATGGTCCAGCTAGCCTGGTATCCTGTCTTCTGATAGTGACTAGTGCCAGATGCTTCAGAGGAAATGAACAGAAGAGGGCAATTTCGAGTGATCCATCCTCTGTTGTCCGGTCCCAGCTTCTGGCAGTTGGAGGTTTAGGACATCTGAAGCATGGGGTTGCGTTCCTGACCATCTTGGCTAATAACCACTGATAGACCCATCGTCCATTAATTTATTTAATTCTTTTTTGAACCCAGTTATACCTTTGACCTTCACAACATCCCATGGTAACAAATTCCACAGATTGACTGTGCATTGTGTGAAGTGCTTCCTTTTGTTTATTTTAAACCTGCTGCTTATTAATTTCATCAGGCGACCCTTAGCTCTTCTTATGTTAAGAGGTAAATAATACTTCCCTATTCATTTTCTCCACATCACTCATGATTTTATAGACTTCTATCATATTTCCCCTTAGTCATCCCTTTCTAAGATGAACTGTCCTAGTCTTTTTAATCTCTCCTCATATGAAAGCTCATTCCATACCCCTAATCATTTTTGTTGCCCTTTTTTAAAATCTCTTCTAATTCAAATATATCTTTTTATAGCGATGGGGCTATCAAAGCTGCTTGCAGTATTCAAGGTATGGGTGTACCATATAAATGCCAGTATGATATTTTCTCTCTTATTATTTATCACTTTCCTAATGGCTCCCAACATTGTTAGCTTTTTTTGACTTATGCTGCTGAGTGGATGTTGTCAGAAAAAAACATCCATGATGACTCCAAAATTCCTTCTTTATTGAGTGGTAATAGCAAATTTGGACCCCATCATTTTGCTATGTAGTTGGGATTATTTTTTCCTATGTGCATTACTCTGCACTTAACATTGAATTTCATCTGCCATTTTGTTAAACAGTCACCTGGTTTACAGAGATCACTTTGTAACTCTTCACAGTCAGCTTTGGAATTTTGTATCCTCTGAAATTTTGCCACCTCACTGTTCACCCCCTTTTCCAAATAATTTATTAATATGTTCAACAGCACAGGTCCCAGGACAGACCCTTGGGTAACCACTGTATTTCTCTCTCTCCATTGTAAAAAACTAACTATTTATTCCTACCCCTTTGTTTCATATTTTTTAACTAGTTACTGATCCAGGAGAGGACCTTCTCTCTCATCCCATGACTGCTTAGTTTGCTTAAAAGCTTCTGGTGTGGGATCTTGTCAAAGACTTTCTGAAAGTCCAACTACATTGTATTGACCGGATCTCCCTACTCCACATGCTTGTTGATACTTCAAAGAATTCTAACAGAAGGGAAATCATGTCTTACCATTTACAAAAGCCGCATTGACTCTTTCCCAACATAGCGAGTTTCTCTATGTGTCTGATAACTTTAACTTCCCATTTGCACAATTATTGTTCCTTTACTTTATGGACTTTGCTCAGATTGGAAAATTTCACTTTATTTCTATTTAGTTTCCCTTTCTTGTTTTCATTACTCCTGGGGGAATTCTGTGCCAAAAAATTAAAAATTCTACAAAATTCTGCATATTTTGTCAAAATAACCCAATATAAACACGCCAGTTTCAATTATTTTGATAATTTATTTCAAAATACCTGTCAGCAACTATGTCTAACAATACAGACAAAAAAAGATTCAGGAAATATTTTTTGACAAATAGATTCCTTATTAGACATATTATTACAGAACTCTGAGTAATAATTCATTTAAACTACAATACAGAAATGTATTTTTCGCACTCCTCATAAGCAGTACAAAGACTTGGGGGAGTCAGGTGTAATGGAGGAGCTGAGAAAGAGGGAAGGAGTATGGGTGTGCACATGGAGGGTTGTTGGATGAAGGAGGGGAGAAGTATGGAACAGGTTTTTTAGGGGGCAGGGAGCGATTCTTAGGGAGTCTCCACCATGCAGACCCTGTCTGACTCTTAGCCTCTCATTCAGTCAGGCATATCTGCCCCGTCCCCATGTGTCCTTGCATCCACACTCAGCCACCCCTCTTCCTCCCATCCCCATGTGTCCCTGCACTCCCACTCAGCCCCTCCATCCCCATGTGTCCCTGTACCCTCTTCCCCGTCCCCATCTGTCCCTGCAACCCTACTCAGCCACCCTCTCCCCCATGTATCCCTACATTCCCACTCCCATTCAGCCCCTGCCTCACTCTGTCTCCTACACCAGCCCTTCTGAAACCCAGAGCGATCCCATGTGCCCCACGCTGTCTGTCCACCCATAGCCTGTGCCTCCTGACCTGGCCCCATGGGCAGGGCGCTGTGAGGAAGGCAGCCTCTTCTCTTCCCTATCTGCAGCTGGGGCTGGCCTGGGAATGGCTGCTCTCTGTTCTGGCACCACAGTGGCCCCTGGTGGGCAAAAGGCATAACCACAGCACCTTTCTGGCAGAATGTATTTTCTGCAGAAAAAAAAATTCTGCACAGCATAATGAATTCTGCACATGCACAGCAGCTCAGAATTCTCCCAGGAGTATATTTTCATGCAGTAGTGAAGAGGCTAATGTTGAAATATTTGGGTTACCAAAAGTGCAGGAGAAAGTTAAAATGCAAACCAGAACAATATTAGGCTTTTAAAAATGTAATTTTTGTGTACAAACAGACTTAAAGGCCTCACTTATTAGATACAGATTTCAATGTAAATTAAAGGCCTTAATGCTTCAAACAACTACACACGAGAGTAACTTTACGTATACGAATAGTTCCATTAAACTGAATGGGACAATTAACATGGGAGTTTGAGAGAATATATTTTAACTCTGCCAAAGTCTATTGGATTAAATGGTCACTTGAGATCATAGGGCTAAATTCACCACGGCAACTAACAGCCTTCTATAGAGGCTCTGCATATCCTAAAGCAGAGTAACCACTTTTCTACTAACTCAGTTGAGAAAAGAGGTCAATAAAACATACAGAGGATTAATTTACTTATAATAGAAAGCATTGTATCAGCTGAAAAATTAAGTGACAGCATCCACAACTATGAATCTCTACTAAACACTATCAGCTTGTAGGACAATAAAATTCCACATAAAAAAAAAATGATTGACTGGAGTTGAAGCTTATGTTTTAAATACAACATTATAGTGATGTCCATGAACAATGTTATAAATTAAGTGTGAGTTGCCACATTCAATTACGGAGTTTACAATAAGATGTCTGTTTACTTGTTATTGTGAGTCACAAAGAAACAAAACTGCCTGGAATTTCACAACAAATTTTGGTCCTGGACTCAAAAGTATTTTGTTTGTCTTTTTTAAATGAAATCACACAAAAATGAGAGTTGAATGATGAAGCAGTCAAGATAAAATAAATCATCCAGGTGTTTCCTTTAAAATATGTGCGCTAAGCAAAATTTGAAATCCAAGAGTTTACAGAAAAATTTAAACAGTTAGGGCCTGATCCTAGAGATGCTGAGTGCTCCTAACTCCCACTGAAGTAGGAAGTACTCTGACTTGAAGGATCAATCTAGCTGTCCTTCCCCCTCTTTAAATATCTGTTGAAAATTGGAGCTTTGTTATTTCCAATTGAAAAGTATATCTGATCATATGCTAACACCATCTACCTCAGGAAAATCATAATGTTTGCTGAGAAGTATACCATAAAGTGTTGGGGGGATGGGGGAAGAGGGATATGAAGTATGTATGTGCCTTCCATGTCATAAGGCTGTATTTTACAGTGTAATCTGAAAGCTTCTTGAAACCATTACAGACTCTTTCTTTTCACTTCACTTGTTCTTTTGACTAATTCCCAGTAATACTGCCTTAGGCTATAAGATGCACATTCTGCATTCAAGTTATGAATTTTGTTTACTTCGTATCTTGAATGTGGAGGTTTTGTAACACCTTCCTATTTGCATTTTTAACATATTGCTTAACTCTTTCAGGTCCTTTAAGTTTAAGTAACTTTACAAAACCATTCCCCCACCCTTCCAGCTGCCGTTCTGATAAAAGCGTAGTTCTCTTGATAAAGCACTGTTTAAACAGACATACTGATGGTTAATAAAGTTACCTCTTTGGATGTAAATCCTGGAACCAGCCTTGCCACACTGTCCCAGTTGATAGGCTGAGGGACACCGATTAAAGAGTACAGGATCATGTCCAAAACCATTTGATTATTATCATATGGAAAGTTATTGTTTTCTGAGTATCCTCGACTCATCTTTTGGCACTAAAAAGCTAGAGAGGCAAATGTAAATATGTATACATAAAGATCCATAAAGTTTAATACTGCTCATGTTTCACAGCAGCAATAATTACATGATCAGTTAAAGTACAATACATATTAATGGCAACACTACTATTACTATACGAAGTCAAGTACTAATACTACTACTTTTTGAATGGAACCTGGGTCAAATAGACATCTATGCAGCCCAGATTCCATTAAAAAAGGCACAATTGCAAAATAGTTTGTTTCAGTACCAACTGGTTTTTATCCTGATCAATACCTTAAGTAGTTCTATCATAAAAAAGCCCCCCAAAGATTCCGCTTCATTTAGGGTTAAAAAGAAGAACACTAATGAAACTACAGCAGGCTTTGTTTTAGAAGTGGCAATTTTTAGAAATGTTAAGGCATTTGATAAAAAGACAACAGAAGTTATTCTGAAGAGACCAAGATGAGTCATACTATAGTTTGACATCTAAATCTAAAAGGAGAAAACTATTCCTCAATAGGGAACATGCAGTGTTATTAATCATCTCCTCTTCCTTGAAATATGAAGGAGTGAGTAGGTCAAATAGGAGACAATTCAGAAAAAATCAGCAAGATAGTGGGTACCATTAATGCTTATTACAGGTTACAGGGAGTTCAGCTGGGTTTTTAAAAAAATATAAACCTGACAAAAGTAATATAAAGTTATTAGGAAGAAATTCAGACACTGATTTTTCTAATTAGGTAGTAAATAGGAAAGACAGGAATCGGGACTTCAAACACTACAGTATAACCCACCAGCCACAGCGTGTCAGTATAACAGCTACTGTATAAAAAATAGAGAAAATAGTCTTTTTTTTAATTGAAGGTGTAAATACGAATGAGTAGCCTATTCTAGTGATATACAATTACTTATTTCAGCACATGCTTTGGCCATGGAAAGTAAATAATGGTAAGCTTATGTAGAGGGAGTAGCTATTAAAATAGACTTTCCAGCACTTAAAGTGGAAATACTAGCAACTGACGGGATCCACAAAGTGGAGATTAATAAGAAAGAAAGAAAACTGGACAAAACTTGCATGATGTGCAGTAGTTTCAAACAATACTAAACTCATCCAGTTAAAAACTTAGTAAATAAGTGCTTTACGGTCCAATCATATGCTTATATGCTTACAGGATAGGCCCAGTTTTTTCAGAATCTCCATTAATTCTGCATGTCCAATCTAATATATCTACAATCTGACTTTTCAGATGTTCTGAAGCACCCACAGCTCTAAAGTCAATGGGAGCTGCAGCTCTCAGCAACTCTGAAAATCAGGTCCTATGGGTTTCAAGTTGAGCATCGAGGAACTGAGGCATACAATTCAATTAGTGAACAATTTTGAAAAATGTTGGCCTTAATTATTATGGTTGCCAATTTTGGTAACTTTTGATTCTTCTATACCACCGCCTCCTGCAAGTGGTACCCCAAGTTGTAAGTATATTCAAAAGGAGCATGGTGGTGGAAAGAGTTTAGAACTAAGATTTTCAAATGCGACTAATAATTTCGGGTGCCCAACTGAGATACCTTAGGAGGGTCCAATTTACAGGAAGTGTTGGTCACCCACTCTCTGAAAATCAGGTCCTTTCAAGGTGCCTCAAATTGGGCACCTAAAAATTGAGGCACTCAAAATCATTAGTCAGATCTGAAAATCTTAATCTTGGGGTATAAATAATATGGCAATGGGAGGAGAGAAGATAGCCAAGAGCTATGACTATGGAGAATCCTCAGAAGGCTGCAGTTGGATGTAGTCTCAATGGACTTACTTGCTATAGGGAAAGTCCTCTACGAGTTGCTTCCTTTACCCACACACTCATTTTTTTAATAGCTAGAAGAGGATTTCTTAAAAGTTTGTGCTGCAGTAGTAGGGAGCCCATTGATTTCATTTCAGAGTATATAAGCAATAAGGCGTATCATTTTGCCAGAAATTTGAACTGGTAAAAAACAAAACAAAAACCTCCCAACATGTAACGAAGGAAGTGTTTATGTTGTGGGGAAAAGCATCTGAATTTGTAGAAAATATTTGGAAAAAGAAATAAACGAATAATTATCTTAGTTTCAGAATATTCATCAAAAGAAAATTTAGAGGGAAAGTTATTTTTGGTTTCAAGGTAGCTTTGTTTGAGGAAAAAACAGGAAGTCATATAGTTTTTTCTTTGAAATGTAGCACTGGCAAGAAGTCCCAAATTAACAGCAATGGAAAATATTTTGCTAAAGAGCAGATGTTCCCTATCAGCAATGGCGGTCAAAACTTTCCTACGCAGGACTGTCAGTGTGTTTCAGCGCTGTTCCAGAATTGTGACATTTAGGAGTAAAAGTAGTTCAATTTCCATGTCCATTCAATATCTGGCCTTCATTCTCCGAAATACTATCAAAAGTGTCAACTGTGATGATTATTATTTTTTTTTTATTCAGACCTCTCTCCATTAGTGAATGGACAGAAACCAATAGTTTCACATGGGCCATTGAATATTGCATAAGAAATTACCAAAAAGAGATGACCAAGGCCAAATCTGAACCAATGACATAGGTGAAAGGTTATTACATATTGAGTCTGTCTCCTGTGCTATCCAGTCTACCCTTAACTGGCAGTTAAAAAAAAAATGTCTGAATGCCAGCAGGGTAAAGGTGCAGGAACAAGTTTTATTCTCTACAAAATCAAAATGTAAGTATCGCTTATGGTTAGGCTTAATAAAAATACAATCACTATTGATATTGATAGCCTATAAAGGTTATTCCTATTGTATAAATATACTGTATATTCAGGTGCAGAGATAGAGGAACAGTAGTTATTCTCATTTGCAAGAGTTCTAAAATTTAAAGGAAACAAAACCACAATGGGTTATAGTAGTCTTAACATTTTACTAATAATAACTGTGAAGCAACTCAACAGTGCAATTATGACAGGTACTCCAAGAGGCAGTGACATTTCTTGAGAGGCATGAAGGTTTTATTTATCAAGTATGCACTTTTCTATTTTAGTGTTAACTGGAGCCTAGATTTGGCTATCCATGCAAATACCCGAGATGAGGACCTGTTTTGGTCATAAAATGACTAGGAATGGGATTTCAGTCTTAGCCACAAACTAAATACAGGTTAAACAGCATAACCAATAACAAGTCAGTGTCAGAATTAGAACAGTTCCCAATCCTGGATGGATTAGATCAACCCCTCAGCTCTAATTTCTTTCTTTCATATACGACACTGACATGTGCTGCCCTATGGGAAGTATCTACTCCCAAAAGCATACCATACGGTCAAATAAATATAGCTACTTAAATCTGCATGTGCAATGATCAAAATACAAACAACTACTGCTATTTGAATTAAATGCTCATTCTGATCATATACATAGAGCTGTGCCATACATGGATCATCATACTGGCAAATGAATGAGCTTGGATATTGAATGCATGTAGTAGGATATTAAATCTCAGAATTTACCTCCTATTTTGGAATTAGCACACATTGTGCTTGCCATAGTGGGTTCTCTAACACTGTTCTACTGTTGTATAATAAATCTTGTAAAAGCCATAGCTAGCATGTTCAAGACTACTTCCTTTTGCAGCAATGGTACGCACTTTAAGAGATGCAACATGGACAAAGCCTATAATAAGTAACACCACTCTCTAGAGATGACACTGCATCTTTGTGTTCTGCACAGTCTACACTACTGCAAGTGAAGCTCAGACTTAAAAAAAAAAAAAAAAAACCAATGCCATGAATAAGGTAAGTGAGATATAGCAGCTATGGGTGTGGCAGAAATTAAAAAAGTTTTAAAACCACTTAGACTAGTACATTAAATATACATAGAAAGAAGGCAACTTCATAAAGTTATCTTTATCAAAAACATGGGGTTCCAAATTAAACAATACTAACAAAATCCCCTATCTTTTTTTTACTTAGTGTTTCATTTGTTTCACAATATAAATGGGGGAAAAAAGTGTCAGTACAAGGAATAGCAGGTTTACTTACAGTTAGGGAAATGTGGAGAATTGTGTAAGACTAAAATTTAAAAAAATATATGCAGACAAATCCTTGGTATGGAAAGAAGACAAAGCACAATTCTAGGACTGGGCTTTAACCATTTCCATGCAAAGAATTTACTAGAGTTGAGCAGGATTTTATTTTTCTTTCCTTTTTGGGGGGAGGGGGAAAGGGAGGGGTTTTTTTTGTATACTATGTGTTTAATTAGGAAGTATTAACACATTTAAAAATCCTTGCCATGTAAATATCAGAATCAATAATAATTAAAAATCAATCTGTTGTTTAAAGAGACATCCGTCATCAGATTTCTCTATTTAACAGGGTGTTACCATATTACAGTGTGAGCATCCTTATAACATCTATGACATGCCATTTCTAATATTTTATTAAGTCGAGTGACATTTCTGATTACACATATTTAACAGACCAGGCATGTCTATGAAATGTTAGTATTCAAAAAAATTGGGCAGGTGCGCTGGGTTTTTGTTTGTTTGTTTTGGCAGGTGAAGGTACTTTCTGAGTACTGAATAAAAGATAATAAAATATCTAAGTATTTATTTGTCCTCCATCTATTTGTCTGGGTACAAAATTAGTGTGTTAGTTTTACCATAATCACCCCACCTGCCAGGGGCCCCGTCCATGGAAGCAGGGACCCCAAGACTGATGAACCACACCCCGAATGGTGGGGTTCGCTCAGCAGTGCCCAGAAGGTGCCCTGGAGAACGAGGCGGGTGCTCAGCGCCTCCTGCCCAGAAGGAAAGAGAAGCTGAAAGGAGGGAGAGGCTGCGAGTCGGTTACCTGGGGCCCGATCCGGGCGGCAGCAGGGGGATGCGGACCTCTGGGTTTGAAGCCACCGAGGAGCTTGGCGAGCCCCAGCGCCGCGCTAGGGTAGGATGGAGGGAACCAAGAAGGCGCTTCCTGGGGGAGGCAAGAATCCAGACAGAGCGTTACCGCAACTCAGCCACAGACTCAGCGTCTCCCCCGACCTCGCCCAGACACCGCCTGCCACAGTCCGCCCACATGCCCGCCACCATCTCCCAGCCCCTCCCCCCGCGCTGGGAGCCACTGACCGCGCAGAGGCCACTCACCGACCCACCCCACCAGCCACGCCCGGGACACTGGCAGCCCCCGCCTCTGACAGAAGAGAGCCAATGGGGGGGCGAAGCGCGGCCTTCCCGAGAGAGGCGGGCCTTGGCGTGCTGTGTCACGGGGTCGAGTCTCCGCCTCCTTCCCCAGCCTTGTCGCAGTGCAGCGGCTCCTCCCTACCCCCAGCATCTGGTCTCCTAGCAACGAGCCGCGCAAAGCGCCCTCGGCCTGGGAGCCGCCGTCTCAGGCAGGTGGACGAGGAAGGCGGGGCTGGTCCTTTCCCCACCCAGGGCAGGGGCAGATGAACCCCCCCCTCGCCCCAGCCCTGTCTCGGTGTGACGTCACGCCCTCCTCCGTCAGCACTTCAACGTGACATCACACCACTACCCTAACCCCTCACCCAGGGCCGGCTCTAGGTTTTTTGCTGCCCCAAGCAAAAAAAATTTTGGCTGCCCACCCTGCTCACCAACCCTGAGCGCTCTCTCCCCCCCGCAACTGCACCCTGCTGCTGCCCCAGACCTGGGTCACTGGTAACTCGCTCCCATGGCAGGTCATTCAGCAGGAATTTTGGATGTGCACAGAACACAGACAGGATTGGTTCCCACATGGTTACAGAACTGCAATAAAGTGGAACAATTTTCAGCTTGTGTGATTGGAGGATATCTGGATGCATATTATAAGACTGTCCTACATAAATGAGGAAAAGTTGAGGTGCCTTTATTATTCTTTTGTTCCATTCTTTGTTTCTATGGGGAATTTGCCTATGCAATATCACTGTCTTCCTTTCAAACAAATAAAACTAAAACTAAAAACTAAAAAAAATAAACAAACAAACAAACAAAAACAATGGCTGTTGAAAATAGCAATTTCAGTCCTAATAACCACTGGGAAGCATTTCTTGCTCAATTTATTCTACTTTTTCTACAGCAAGTTACAGTGGATCAGTATATTTGATTTGGGAGAAATGAAGTAACAGCTGCCCAAATTGCGCTTGAGCACTCCTGAATTTTGAGGGTGTTCAAATCTGGAAAGCAGGTGCTAGATTCCTTTTCTGAATATTAGCTAAATCTGGAAAAGAAAAGTCAATTTCTGCTTCGGTGGCTCAGAAGTGTAAATCCTCCTACGTGCCTGGTACTGTATCTAAAGCTGCCCAGGTCCTAGTACAGCCTCCCCTCCCTTACTTTTCTGTTTAAATTCTAGTGGGATCCACGTACCTCCCTTGCTAGGCTTCAGATAGAGAGGTGCACTGTCCATTTAGTCCACCCAATTCTTTCTTTGGGGGAGAGCCCAGGGCTGGGGTGGCAGGAGGTGTAGGGAGGAGAGGAGCCCAGGGCTGGGGCAGCAGGAGGTGCAGGTGGAGGCCAGAGCTGGGGCAGCAGAGGGTGCGGGTGTGGTGGGGAAGAGCCCGAGGGCGTGGGGGCGGCGAGGGAGGTGCGAGGGTGGGGGCCAGGA